TTTTTTTCAGAAGAGGGCGATAATTGAAAATACAAAATACTATTTACTCATGTCTATATACAATCGATCGCTTCAAAAATACTTCACTTTCTTCGGAAACTTTTGATAAATTCTCTTTCATATTCTCTGTTTTACTATCACTGTCGTCATTCAAATCAATAATGAATTTATTTCCACCATTAATATGGAAGTGTCCAATCTCCATATCGTCTTTTTCAACTAAAACTCCAACTTTAAATGTGCACATCATCGTTCACTTCAACTATACCTGCGTCTTAATGGTCCTAAATTAATTTTACAATGTTGCTTTATCTAATAGTCAGGTAACTCTGACAAATAAAATATTATTTCGACAAGCTATAATTTATTGTATTTGTTTGAAATCATGGTGATCTTCTACCACGTAGTAACGGCTACATGCATCAAACATGAAACTGGAGTCCGAATATATTCTTGGCATTTAGGTATCAATACGCCTAGGTTTATTATATTCACACTCTATGAGTAAATCAATAATCAACGACATAAAAATTGACTCGATTCGTCATTCAGATACTTTATATTATCAATTTGGTGAAAACACCTTCTCCAAGATAGAAGTCATTTTGCCATCCAAAACATTATCCCATCCAATCAATTCAACTCCAAAGAACGTACGCAATCGATGACATTATAATGATTGGCAATCGTTTAAATAGAACAAATGACTCGAATCTTAACTTCCCGAATTAAACGCGATCAGGCGTCATCAAGTACCTTCTCGTAGTTCTATAGATAGTACGTTTTGACCAGTGACCCACTTTTCAGGGGACGGACAAATGGCAGTTGAATTGACATTTTCCAAGGAAGACGTTTCAACCAACTGGGGGTTTCGTTTAGTGGGTGGATCGGATTTTGATCAGCCATTAATTGTGGTCAAGGTAAGCCGTTAGGTCGTTAGTCTTTTGTTTTGTGTTTGCTAGATTCCTAACATGTTCCATTCTCCTCTGAATTTCAAATTCTACTTATTGCACCTCCAAAGAATGTTCTGTTGTTATTGTCGTGGTCATTTTTGCCACAAGTGCAAAAAATACTTTGCAAGAGTCAATTCAATTCAATTCAAAAACGTATATTCAAATTCGTGTCAAAATACATTCAGTTTGAGTTTTTTACAATAGATTTTTGACTGATGTTTCCTCTATATTATTCAGATCATACATTTGTCTTCATATTTCGCATAATAACAATTTTTACAATTCTTTCCAAAAAAGGTTTTTTTTGTGAATATATTTTCTATTATGTGAAAACATTAAAAATGAGTGAATGAAAGATCTCAACACAATTTGTTTTTCATTACTTCCAGCTTTTTGTTTCGTTCTCTAACTTGTGGATTTTTGTCTTTCTCCTATTGTTTTTTAGTATCAGTTATACTTATATTTTACCTCTTTTCAATTTTTTTTCCTCTGTACCTTAGTGACCTAGTTTTTGGAGCCTTTTTGTTGTTGGAAAATAACATATGGAAGCGTTTGAAAATATCTATCCAGTTCTTACCTCAATCTCTTTTCTATTCTGAATTTAATTGGTACTTCTCCAAATGTAAAAATTCTCATAGTGCCAAGTTCCTTGAATATTTCCTTGTCACACTAAGAAATCTTCAGGTGAAACGTTAAATATGTATACTATGAATATATGATGTGTTAAAATTAGACTTTCTTTCCCAAAATTTTTTGGTTTATTTTCTCCTCAATTTTTTCCAAGTTTATTCTCTCCTGAACTGGTTTGTATGAAATAACAGTGAACTATTACTTTGGAAGGACTAAACTTAATTTTTACAAGGTGTTTATTAATTTAGTGTTACGTATTAATAGTGAAAGTTTGAAGTTTGATATGAATTTTTTGACATGAGTCCTTGGTCTGCAGAATACCATTTAGAAGTACTTTTGTGAACTGCCCCCGGTAAATGAATAATTGAATTTTTCTAAATGGTGGCACTCACATCATATCATGCCTGATAAGAGTATACAGATTGAAAGAAATGTTTTGATAAGGAAGGCTCAGTCAAGAAATGAACCGCGGAGGTCAAGTTCTCCTAGGTTTATTCATAAAAACACCTTCGGAATTGAGGAATATGTTATGTTTATTGATACATTTCATTCTGATGGAACAACTATCATTTTAATCAGAAATTATTCAATAATTAATTACTGAGTTTACTGGCCAGACAAATGCGGTTGAACAAGCTATAACACGGAATATTTTCTTGAAATAAGTGTGTTGTTTACTGCTAAATAATACCAATAAGAGCTATAATGCTACGTTATTACGTTATTATTACGTATTTACCTTCAGTATACATCATTATAAAAAGTATCAACTTTCATGATACAAGGTCTTTAACCACGAGCCTTCGTTACGAGTATACCGAGTGGATATTCTTTAGTGGGCTTGGAATAGTGTGTAAAGGAACCCTCTCTTTTCAAGAATATATTTATAGTCTAGTTCTCAAGTTGAGAATGATGAAAAATAGAGGAAATGGTCGGTAAAATTCGTGCTAAACCGTTTTCTAGCACATAAAAGATTGCAAAACTCATAAACAAATTAAGATATGAAAGATGTGAAATTTAAAAAAAGGATCTTTGAAGAGAAGGAAATTTACAAAAAAATCCCAACTCCCTAAACTCTATCTCTATTATTTATTATTTTAATTCAACCCTGAAAATAGGCGCATCCGCGTGTAGATTTGGGAATGCTGACGTGACATCTAAAGTACGTCACAAAAAAATTCAACTATCATACAGTGTCATCCCCAAAGTACGCACCATAATATGGGAAACTTATTTATTGAGGGTTTTTCGGTAAAAGTTTGTGCATAACCTAAAACTAAACATACACTAACAAAATACAGTAAAACACACGTAATATACGAGGAGCCTTCAAATATTTGATTTCGAGACAGGAGTAAAGTACCCTTATTTTGGATAATCTCGGGAAATGTAATTGAGAAAAGTTGTTCAACATTAGAAAATACATCTAGATTTGAAGTGACGGTCATCTAAGTGAAGTTTTATTTTTTTCAATCATTTTTTTCAATGAGGACTACGTCGTATACAGGATGCTGTATATTTATCATTTTAGCAAATTTTTTTTCGTAGTCTTCATTTGAAAAAATTGGTAAAAAAATAAAAGTTCATTCAGGTGACCATGACTTTAAATCTAGATGTATTTATTCAATGCTGAACAACAATCCAATTAACATTTCCCGAAATTTTTCAAAATGAGAGTACTTTACTCTTGTCTCAAAATACAATATTTGAAGGATCCTCGTATATTACGTATGTTTTACTGTATTTTGTTAGTGCATGTTTAGTTTTAGGGGATGCACAAACTTTTATCAAGAATGAATTTTTGTCGAAAAACCCTTAATAATTAAGTTTCCCATATGGTGCATACTTTGGGGATGACACGGTATATTATTTATTGAAAACACTGAGGAAGCTAACTTGGTTAGCAAAACGCGCGTCGAGAGACCGTTATTTTGTTCTGGTGTTGGGAAAGTGATTTCAATAGATTCATTTCACATATAGACAGTGGCCATACTTGAAGACTGGCTATAAATCAAATCATCTAAAGGAACAATTCGTTCAGGCCAGTCTCAACTTCCTACACTGAAGGTTAATGGACTGACACTCATCAGAAAACTACTCCCCTGGCTAATACCACAAAGGGCATTGGATTATATCCGACAGGTGTCAGTGCAGGATTCTTCACTAAAGTTATTCCTGCATATGTTGTTGGCGATACAACTGCCGAAAACGATTTTCAATTATTGGAAAACACTTGCAGACCGGTTTCGGGATGTTTGGCCACTCGTCAGCGTAAGATAGTGTCTATCATTAACATGGAGTCAATGATTTCCGATAATTGAAAATCGAATTCCTTCAGAGTATCATTCCTCAAACTACAGTGTCATTCCTCAACCTACAGTGTAGGGAGTTGAGACTAGCCTGAAGGAATTGTTCCTTTAGATCAGCGATTCTCAAACGGTGGTACGCGTACCACCAGTGGTACGCAAAGCACTTAAAAGTGGTACTCTATAAACTTGAATTTAATAAAATTTATTCACAAATGTTATCTTTTACGTTGTGTATAGCAGCGCTGTGAGTTTGAAACCGCAAACGCGTATTCATTGTTGGCAACACTGGAATCGAGGCAAACTGCCGCCGCCCTTGATTCACGTCATAAGTTTCCTCGTGGCCGTCGGTCGTTGTGGTTGGTTTGGTCGATACAAGTGATTTGCTGTTACCGATTCGTGCGAATTTTTGCTTATGAAAAATGTAGCTTAAAAGAGACAAAAGAACATCTGAAAATCCCGGACCATCGAACTCCACTTCAGAGTCGGAGCCTATACAGGGTGATGACAAAAACAGTTCTTTCAAAAAACTAAAAGTAGCGATTAGGAAATATGATCCTGAATACATTAATATGGGATTTACATTCACGAATATAAATGATGAGCCAAGGCCCCAATGTGTAATCTGTTTAGAAATTCTTCCTAACCAGTGCATGAAACCTTCGCTATTAAAACGCCACTTTAATACAAAACATTCAGTATTAGAAAATAAACCTAAGGATTACTTCGTTCGGAAGTTAACACAGATGAGAGGCACAAAAAAATTAATGTCGAATTTCACCGGTAGCAACCAAAAAGCAGTAGAGGCATCCTTCCTCGTGAGTTTAAGAATTGTGGAAAAGCACATACCATCGGTGAAGAACTAGTTCTACCTGCCGCAAAAGATATGGTAAAGTGTATCTTTGGTGAGAATTCAGCTAAACAGCTTAATATTATACCATTATCCAATGATACCATACGTCCGTAGGGTTGAAACAATGGCATTAAATGTTAAAGAAAAATTGGTAGACCGAATAAAAAATAGTATTTTTTTTTGCAATACAACTTGATGAGAGCACAGATGTAACAAACTATGCTCAGCTTATGGTTTATGTGCGATATATATAAGAGTATTTATTTTGTAAGGCGTTAACGGAACGAACAACTGCTGATGAAATATTCAAGAAAATCAATGATTTTTTTGTGGAAAATGGACTAGATTGGAAACAATGCGTTGGTTTTTGTTCGGGTGGTGCTCGAGCCATGACAGGAAAATACGGAGTTGTAACTGCCAAAGTAGAACTGGTTGCAGAAAATTGCACTTTTACCCATTGCAGAAGCTTTGGTAGCAAAGCGAATGCCCGATCAATTTTAACATGTTCTCCATGAAGCCATTAAGATAGTCAATTTCATAAAATCTCGAGCCTTAAACTCGCGTTTATTTTCAAAACTATGCTCTGAAATGGGAAGTGATCATATTCAGTTATTACTACACACAGAGGTAAGATGGCTTTCAAAAGGAAAAATGTTGAACAGGTTATTCGAGTTGCGTTCTGAAGTCCATGTAATTTTAATGGAATCCAATTTTGAACTGCGTGATTTTCTGTAAATGACAAAATATAGGCTTTCATCAAGAAATGTCATATGATCAAAAATAGTGTTTCAAACAAAGACTTACAGTCGTTTACCAATTTAGAAAATTTTGTGGTTGAGCATGAAATAAAGATAAAAGATGATCTTATTTTTAACATAAAGCAGCATTGTCAAATGCTAATTGATAGTTTTGAAGAATATTTTGACGAAGACTATGCTCAGTTTCTTTGGATACGACAACCATTTATTTTGGATAGCATTCCTGAAACATTAAAACAGGATGAAAAAGGTCCTTAATAGAACTATCTTGTGATGGGGGTTTGAAAATAGAGTTTTCAAAATTAGAATTGGCCGAATTCTGGCTAAATATTAAAAATGAATATTCAGCCTTATCAAAAAAAGCATTGTTATTTTTACTTCCTTTTACGACCACCTTTTACGACCACTTACCTGTGTGAA